GAAGGAAAGAAGGAAAGAAGGAAAGAAGGAAAGAAGGAAAGAAGGAAAGAAGGAAGGAAACATAAAACATTAATGCCAGAGGTGGCACACACATTTGATCCCAGCACTTGGGAATTGGAGTCAAGAAGATCAGGAATTCAAGGCTACCCTTCCCTATGGCATAACCTTAGGGTCAGCCTGAGCTACAAGAGACCTTTTTTCAAAACAAAGAAAACCATAGAGTATAGTTCAGTGGTAAAGTGCATTTTTAGTGTGCCTAAATCCCTGGGTTGGATTCTTAATACAAAAAAGAGAGAGAATATAAATTTGTGAGATAGATAAGAGTCGTGGAGGTATCTATAAACTCACTCCCCCCCCCAAAAAAAAAGCAAAAAAACAATGTTCATAACATAAAAGTAATGGACATGTCAACTAAAACATTTATCTACTGACAAATGATAAATGATCCTGGGTATATAGTATGTGTTCTGCGACATATAATTACCACACATCCCGGGCTAGGTAGTATGTACATAGCTGCCGACGGAGACAGAGCTGGCTCTCACCCTGCTTGGAGGCTTATGTTATTTTGGTTTGAACTTTGGTACAGGTTGCACTTTAAATAGATTGTGTATCCTTTTCCTTGTACAGGCTACAACTGATCTGAGTTATTCGCCCACTCATTAAGTATTTAGTGTGTATCTCTTAGGGTCATGGACAGGTCCAGGTGTTGGAGACATGCAATAGACTGTAAATGCACATGCTTCCTGCCTCAGTTTCTCAAGTTCTAGAAGAATGACTCTTCATCCTCTGCAGTGTGTGCCACTGTGCTGGATGTGTGTGTGTACATGTATCTATGTGTACATGTATGTATGTTTGTGTATATGTGTGTATACATTATTTTATTTTCTTAAGATTTTACTTATTTCTTTTTCTGTCTTCTCTCTCTTTCTCTTTCTCTCTCTCCATCTATCTATCTATCTATCTATCTATCTATCTATCTATCTATCAATCTATCAATCATTTATTTTGTTTTTTTGAGACAGAGTTTCTCTGTGTAGCCCTGCTGTTCTGGAACTCGCTCTATAGACCAGGCTGGTCTTGATCTCAGAGCTCCAACTGTCTCTGCCTCCCAAGTACTGGGATTAAAGGCCTGCACCAGCATTGCCTGGCAAGATTTTATTTTTAAGTGTGTGTGTGTGTGTGTGTGTGTGTGTGTGTGTACATGAGTGCAAATGTCCACAAAGGCTCTAATGAGTAGCAGGTCTTGTGGAGCTGGTATTTATGTGGGTGCTTGGAACTGAACTCAGGTCCTCTGCAAGAGCAGAAAGAGCTCCTAAGAACAGAGTCATCTCCCCAACTCCTCCATGCCTAAATTCTGAACGACTCAGGTTGGGGAAGGATGGGAGAAGCATGCACGTTAGGGTATGGCTTCTATATACTTGCAAAACACTTTGTTGCAAAGTGACAGAATCTGAGCCCCTGGGGCTCTGTGGCCTAGTTTCCTCCCTCAGTGACTTGACCTGCAGGTGCTCTTACTTGCTCCAAGATCTTCATAAACAGGGCTTCCAGTTGCTTCTGCTTTCTTGTCTTGCTCATCCTGGACATCTCCCGGGAAACAGGGAACTGTGAGGAGAGCGAGATGAGAGGATTGAGCAGAGGGAAACAGCACGGGGACTGATTCCCAGCAAATCCCTGCAACTGTTCTGAGCCGTGGGATGCTCACGTGTTAAGTCCCACAATGCCCCACTTCCAGCCTGAATCCTCCACACCAGCCACGGAGTGTAACAGTTAGGAAGGAAGTGGACACACTCTGTCTTTACATTTGCCATTGTGTTTGGAAACGGGTAACTTTGTGTAAGGGTAAGGGAAAGGTGACAAATATACAGATCATGGAGTGGGCATTTAGATGTTCTGGAGCATGGTGTTTTTAGATACGTCCATTATCTCACAAGAACACGGTACAAGGGGCTGTGAGAGTGGCTCAGTGGCAGAACAGATGCTTAGTATGTGTGAGGCCCTAAGTCCACCCTTAACTCCTGCAACTAAATAAATACATGTAAATTTCAAAAATATGTGCTGTTTAGTGTGTCCTAGGTTAGTTCATTATCTAGACACCAAAACCTTATGTTTCTGTGTTGTAAGGAATTGAATTATCATTTACATTTGCCTGAATGTCTTTAGCATTTGAAATAAATCTTAAATGACTAAAAACCAGTCTCAAAATTTGTTTATTTTTATCTTATGTGTAGGAGGTATGTGGCAGCATGCATGGATGCATACCATGTGCATGCCTGCTGCCCACAGAGGTCAGAAGATTCTATTAGAGCTTCTGGAACTGGAGTTTGTGAGCCACCATGTGAGTGCTGGGAACTGAACCCAGGTCCTCTGTAAGAGTGAGTAGCAAGTGCTCTTAACAACTGAGCCATTTCTCTAACCCCTTGACTAAGTGGGTTTCATGATTTATTTTTAACTATGTGTACTTTTATATATTTATGTGTGAGTTTGTGCACGGGAGTGCAGGTACCCGCAGAGGCCAGAAGAGGGCATTGGATTCCCTGGAGCTGCCTAACAGGCCGTGGTTGGTCGTCAGTTGCCCAGTGTGGATTATAGAAACCAAACTCAGGTCCTCTGCACTGGCAGAACATGCTTTTGACAGATGGGCTTTCTAGCCCCAGTTTACTAAGTACATATACATATACATACGTACATATACATATACATGTATATGAAGAGAGAACACCAGATGAGAAAATGCTTCTGTAAAGTGAGGCTGCAGACAAGCCTGGAGGACATTTTCTAAATTGACATGCCAGTGGTCCTGGGTTTTATAAGAAAGCAAGTTGAGCAAGCTATGAAGGGCAAGCCAGTAAGCAGCACTCCTCTGTAGCCTCTGCCTCCAGCTTCCTGCTCTATGACTGTCCTGACTTCCTTGGAGGATGAATGGTGATGTGGAAGTGTAAGCCAGATAAACCCTTTCCTCCTCAGCTTGCTTTTGGTCATGGCGTTTCGTCACAATGATAGTAACCCTGGCTAGGGCCAAAGGTTAAAGACACATTAAGTCACAGAGCTTCAGGCAGGAGTTGCTGGGTGTGGCCTGTAGCTGTTTTTGCCAGAGTCTAATATGAGCTACTAGTTACCTGAACATGGAAGATGTCATTAAGAAGACAGTGGAACTTATCATCCAACAGTGTCTTGACTCTATTTTGAAGATTGGTCTGTCGTTCTTTGTAATGTTTACAAGAATCCAGACCTAGTACGTTAGCCATGAGTATCTGGATAGTATAAAAATTCTGATGGAAGCTGATCTTAGTCAGTGCAATAGCAACAGTCCTGTTCATGAGACAACAGAGAATCAGCAGACCATTTAAGTACAGTTCCTGGAGCTAACAAAGGCTGGGAGAAGGTCCTAAGTTCTCACACTCAGCTGCAAGAACAGAGATTTATTGAGCTGTCTCAAAGCTGTCCTTCAGTCCTGCTTCTGGTAATCCAACCCCTCCCCATCATTTCTCTATACTAATCTAGCTGTCTTTTCCTTTCAAGCTTTGCCCTGCACCCAAGCCAGAGCCTTAGACTCAGACCTGTCTTGCCATAACAGCCTGCTATGTCCGGTGTCTGCTGTAGATGATCCTCTGAAGGCAACCTCTTTAAGAGACCTCAGTGATTTAGTGAGGTCCAGATCTGGGGGCTTAGAGATGTGGTTCAGTGGTAAAGCCTTTGCCTGGCATGTGTGAATCCTGGAGTTTGCCCCCTAGTACTACCCAAAGCAAACAAAAACCTGAACAACAACAACAACAAGGGTAAGAAGGGCAAAAACAACAACAATGGCAAATCTTGCGGCATTTTCTTGTTTAATGCTTTTCAGTGTTCCCATGGCCTATTTTGTGTGACACACAGAGTCACCAAAGCCTCATCCTGTCGTAGCTAACCGGTCCTTGTCTAGCCATCTACCCTCTACCACCACCAAGTGAACAGGAGTTCCCTCTACGGCCAGGGCTGTGTCTACTCTCTAGGACTTTGCTTTCTGCTCATCCAGGGATTGATATCACTGATCGAAGTCCCTCTTTTGTAAGTTGAATCTTAGCTTTGACCTCTTGAAAGACTTTCCTGATACCCTGAATTCAGGCTACGTACCTTCTCTTCTTTGTGTTTCTGTCATTCTACTGCCTGTCTCTACCACTGCCCCCACCATATTCCTTCTCCTGGTTACATCCTTCTCTTCTCAGCTCCTTGAAAGTTGGGATCATAAGGCCCTCATACTTGGGGCATTGGCCAGTGGTTCTCCAAAACTCATGGGTTAGTTCTGACTACCACAGAAAGCAACCTTGTTTGGGAATAGTGTAGTCACAGAGAATCAGGCAAAATGAAGCTATCATTTGAGCCAAGTGTGGTGATACATGCTTGGAATCTCAGTGTTCAGGATGTGAAAGAAAGAGGAATTCAAGGCTAGCCTGGGCTCCATGCCTATATGTAAAGAAATAAGTAAATATGTGTACATAGAAAATACTGGGAGATGCTGTGTGAAGATGAAGGTGGAAATTTAGGCCAAGGAGCAGCAAGCACTGGTACTAGAAGGTAGGGGTGAAGAAAAGGACTTCATTTTCTTAGTCCTGTGAGGGTATCAATTCTGGTGACACCTGGATCAGACTCTTAGCCTTTCTGTTGGTTAACTCACCCAGTTTGTGGTACTTTGTTACACTAGCCTAGTAATACAGCTTTTAGCAGTTCTTGGAACAGTGGGAATTTAATAAGGAATAGCATGACTCAAATAAGATGGCAGGTCTTTCCACCTTATGTACCCTTTAGGTTAGGTGGGAAAGACACGAGACAATGTTGTCGTGATCTTGGTCATCATTTCTGTACAGTCAAGCCTCTCAGAGTGGCAGGCAGCTCATCCCATGTGTGGCATTTCTTGTATGAAGACAGATAAATAGTGTGAGGTAAGTACACTAGCTCTGCCTTCTGGATTGAAAATCTAGTGGCCAGCATTCCTTAGCCTCACTCTCCAAACTAAAGGGCTTTAAAATGGCAATCCCCTAATTAACACAATCAGCAATTCCCTAATTAACATAATTACCAATCCCCACAATAAACTTGAGGGTCTGGTCCCCAGACAGACTCCAACCTTGCTTTCCACAGCTCTGCTGGCTGTTTTAACCTAACTATACATCGAGGTTAAGCAGGAAGCTTTAAACTCTCCAAGCTTGCCCTCAGATTAAATTGGGATTGGCAGAAATCCGTGCCATTTCTCTTTCTCGTAGTTTGAACTGCTTCATCATTAAATGCCTCTTCGGCTACAAGGCTCTGGTTCCCCAACTGTACTTGGCTAGTTCGTATAAGGCAAGTTACTTAACAGAGAAGACATAAATAAACACAACTCTTTCAAAGGTGCCAGTATTTTCTGAGATCACAAGAAACATGATTTCAAGATGCTTACCTATGGTTCTTATGCTGAGAGGCCAGATACTCGATCTCCATAAGTACCTGGCTTTTTCCATAGCCTGGTAATCCTTCATACATTAGTACTCGGCTGCAGTTCGTCATCAAAAAGTCCTTCATAGTAGACATGAAATAGTCGATCTCCCTAACGCGTCCTGTTGTTCATTTATAGTTTTTAAGGAACAAACCCATCAACAAAAAAATAGTTTAGAAATATATTTTATAAGGCATGCAGCGATACCCCTTCTAAGGGTGTCGTTGGAATTTCCATGACACTGCTCATGGGCATCTTCCCTTTGTGGTTTTGTTCTTTGTCTCTTGTAGCTGAGGCTGACTGGCCTCAAAGCTGCTGTGTAGCTAACGATGACGTTGAACCCCTGTACCCCTCAAGTGCTAGGATTATAGGCATGTGCCACTATGCCTGACTCATTCATGATGTTTCTTAAAACTCTATGTATTTTTTAAAAGTTTTCAAATCTTTTTTTTTTATAAAGCTTTCGTTAGCAAGGTGATTTTGAAAGTTTGTTTTTGTAAGCTGTGATGGAAAGTTTTGTTGTTGTCCTTACTCTGGCCCCATCAGGCCAGGGATGGAACCCAGAACCTCTGGAATGCTAGCCAAATGCTTTACCACTGAAATCTACCTCTGCTCTCAAGGGAAAGTGTTGTAAGCTCATTACAATTCCACTTAATTATACTGCACAAAACTTGAGATTTGCATAGATTATACAACTAAGAATTGAACCAAGGATCTCTAACCTTAAAATAGATGTTATTTTTCTGTTTTCTTTAGCAGACTAGATTATACAACTAACACATGCTCACTGTAGAAAATATGGAAAACGTAGGAGGAAAAAGAACAATATATAAAAAAAACCCTGTTCTGGTTGACAACCCTATCTGTTTTTTTCCTTCAGTGTCTTAAAATGTATGCAGTTGGAGGCCCAGGCTGAAATCTGATACTCAGCCTGCAATCTCCCTCGGTGAACCAGAAGGACCCGGAAGTACTGGGCTTCACAGTGACTTCTGTAAACAGAAGTGTGGGCTCACTGGGGTCATTTCTAGTTTCTTTGCTGGACAGACGAATCCAGAGGCCCCATTTTGTCATCTGTACATAGTGTGTCTGCATGTTCAGGTGTCATCTAATGTCTTTGCTGAAATAGGAGATGATTACAGATAGAAGTGTCCTAGAAAAAGGAGGTGTGTATCTTGCCTGGCAATGTGAGGTTCTGGATATGGTTTAACAGAAATCACCCTGCACACTCTATTGAAGGAAAAGTACCCTTTGCAAAAACACATCTGAACTTCAGTGTTGTGAGCTGTCTCCTTAGAACCCAAGGCTCACTTAGGAGACAGGAGTCAAAGGGCCGTGTAGTAAAATCTAGCTTCTCTCCTCTGGTTATATGGAATGCATACTGTCTTTCACCGGATTCTAAAATGAGTTTTAAGTCACCTTATCTTCAAATATATGCATCTAATTTCTATCCAAACTAAGTCCTAGCTGGACATGTTCATGTGTTCTTATAATTCCAGCACTTGGGGGGAAGTGACAGGAGATTTATGAGCTCAAGAAGAGCCTTGGCTACATAGCAAGTTCAAGGCCAGCCTGGGCAACATGAGACTCTGTCTTTGAAAACAAAATCCTACTATGACTCTTGTGTGCATATTTTTACCCTAATATTTTCCCTGATAATTTTGTTGCCCTCTGTCATAATTTTTGGGGACAGGAACTCTTACCAAAGAAGAGCATTTCCCACACTGCTGATCTCCTACAATTCCTCTTTGGCTACAGCTTTAAGGAATAGTGTGTGACTCTGATTTTTACCGAGCACTGTGTGTGGAATACTGCCTATAGAGACTGGATCATCAACTGGATCAAACTGAGGGAGGTCTGCCAATCATCCCATGCACTCTAACGTGACAGTCTAGGACTTTGTCTACTTTGAGTCACCACTGCAAGAACTTCTTGGGGGTGGGAAACAAGGCTTTGGGGGAGGGGGAGATGGATACTCTCCCTACTCTCTAGATTTATGAGTGTGGGAGTCCTGGCTTACCGGGTGTAATTGCGGTAAGCCTGTGTTTCTGTTGGCCTGGGTGCTTTGTTGTACAGCTCAGGAAACTGGCCTCCTTCAGGCTTTGCAGACACTAAGATTCCGGCCTAACATTCCTCCAAAGCAGCGCTGCTCCTCTTTCCTCTCTCTGTGGCCCTTTAATATGGTACCTCGTGTTATGGTGACCCACCCCACCCCACCCCACCCCAGCCATATTAATTACCTTCATTGTTACTTCATAACTGCAATTTTGCCACTGTTATGAATCATAATGTAAATATTTCTGGAGATAGAGGTTTGCTGAAGGGGTAAAGACCCTGAGGACCACTGAGACCATTTAAGAACCACTGCTCCAAAGGAAGGACAGGGTCTCTTCTTAATGGCCCCTGACACCGCTGTGGCTAGGATTTAACTTTGAATACATCTTCCAGGGATGTTAAATAGAAGGGAAGAGCAAGGGCTACTCCAAATATCCATCTTCAGAATCTATAACCAGGCTACGTTGGGTCTCTTCCCCAAATACACTGTTGCCTTCTTTAGATTTACTTACCTTGCCAATGTGAATTAGCTTTGAGAGGGTCCCTGCTACCAAATCCCAATTGTATCTTCTACATAGATTGTAGGTGAAAGTGTTTTTGTGGGTGACAGAGGATTGAACCTTGTGCAAGCTAAGCACTGTGCACGCTAAGCACACACTCTCCCACTGAACCATACCCCTAAGCCCTTATACACTTAAACATAAAAGGTGAAACAGAATTTCTGGAAAAGCTAGGAAATACTTTTCCAAACAAATGGATGAGGAGAGATTTCTTAAATAGCACACAGAGAAACACGGGTTTAAAACAACAACAGCAAAAACAAAAAAGACGGATAAATTGAATTACACTGTAGTTAAGAATTCTGTTCATTAAATAAACGCTTTAGCAAACAGTTGAAAATGGACTGATACAGAGATAATTAGCAAGGACCCTGAACACAGATGGCATACCAATTTGTGAAGGGTTCCTTGCTTAAAGAGAAACCTACTGTGATGGCACAGGCTTTGAATACCAGTACTCCAGAGGTAGAGACAAGAAGGTCATGAGTTCAAGGTTGTCCTCAGGCAGATAGCTAATTTAGAGCCACCTTGGATTTGAATTGTTATGTGGATTTTATCCCAACAGCAGTCACCACCACAATAAAAATACAAGCCAGACCCTGTCTCAAAGAGGAAAAAAGTTCTAGCTTAGATGAAAAAATAGAAAGAGAAATTTGTATCATCATTTTATTGAAAAGATGGATTAAATAGCCCGAAAGGACCTCAGTCACATCCGACCAATAATAAGTGGAAATGACAATAAGGGACCAGTACATACTCCACACGTGTCCAAGCCATAAAGACTAACAACAGTGGCTGTTGGCAAAGATGAAGGATGACGGCATCATCTACCAAAATTATACCCTCTGTTCTGACAACATCATTCATGTATACATATATGTACATATATGTACCTTTGCATGTATACTAGACAAAAATACATATGCATGCTTTTTTATCTTCTTTGTTTATTGTCTTGGTGGTGGTGGTTTGATGGTGTCCTACACTGTGGTAATCTTCTTGCCTGGGCCTCCTGAGAGCTGGGAGTACAGTGCTTGTACCAGGCTATTTCTCTTCTATTATAAAATGTTTATTGAAAAGACTTGTGTAAGAAAGTTTACGGGCAACACCACCTGTAAGAACCTGGAGATAACCCAGATCTTAGATACCAGGAAAAACGACTGGTACGTTTGTAAAAATGGCATGCAGGATTGTAACAAGAGTGATTCATAGACAGACAACAGCAGGGATACATGTCGTAACACACGAGTGAATAAAAGAAGGTGTACAGAGGCGGTGTTGTGTGTGTTCATTTTTGTGCTTCTGGGATCACACATGATGCAGAAGAACTAGGTAAATGAAATTCAACTGCTCACTATTCTCTGTCAATCAAGGAACCTCCAGGCAGAAAGGAGGACGCAGCACGCTCTAGAAGGGAAGTTACTTGGTCGGTTTCAGTGTTTCTCCTACTCCTCTCTCCTCCCTGCCAGCTGACCTACGAATATCTTATCCTGTTGTGCTGAAGTCCCCTGGACAGTGACTGGAGAGTGCGGGTGGCAGGAGACACCTCCCTCAATTTTTAATCAGTGCTTTCTTCCTGGCGATTTGTGAACCTTTTTCCCTGACCATCCTATACTCTCCCCTTCAGCCCCTTCCCTCCTGTCTAAAACCTCTTCCTGAGTAGTTGATATTTTATTTTTTGTTGTTTTGTTCCCTGAAAGGGGTAGGGAGGAGAGTTAATGATTCTGTCCCAGTGGAGGGAAAGGTGCTGTTTGGGGACAGGGAGAGGCAGGGAAGGCAGGGGGGTATCCTCAGTGCAGCAGGGTGGATAGAGCATAAGCATCCTACTAAATACTGCCAGTATTAAGTAGAGAAGAGTCATGGTGAGCCAAAAAAGGAGGCAGAAGGGCTAGATTCAGAAGGAAAGATGGGATCTTAGGGGGTCAGAAAGGAGGGGAGCCAGGCATAGCGGTGTTTCCTTTGGGTGGGGAGCGCGTACGCAGTGCCTCCCCTCTTCTACCCGTCTCAGCTCTGGTCCTTTTTCCTTCCCTTTCCCACAACAGAAGCCCTGGCCCTGGCCATGTCCTCATGTCTCTGCATCTCTTGAACATTCTGACCCTCTACTCCCTCCTTTTGCTCGGACTCTATTACAGTGTATACACACGGCACAGCTCCAGGAGCATAAATGATGCTTTTCTGTGTAGGTCTAAAAGGCGAGGCATTTGTATGTTACCCAGGGTGGCCCTAAACTCCTGGGCTCCAGAGATCCTCCTACCTCTGCCTCCTGAATAGCTCGAAAGTCATCACGCTGGGTTTAAGTTACTTGTTTGTCTGTTTTTTAAGACAAGGTCTCACTATGTAGCCCCTGGAATTCTTAGGTAGACCAGGCTGACCACAAACTCACAGACATCTACCTGTCTCTGCCTCTTGAGTGCTGGAACTAAGTCTGCATGCCATCCTAAGAATAAATAATCAAGAATGTTAGAAGCCCTGGGACAGGGGGAAGAGGGAGGAAGCCGGAAGACATGTGTGGTGATTTCTATCACATGGTTATTTTCCTCTCTCTTCTGTCTGAGTATATATGTGCACCTGTGTGTACAGGTATACAGATGTGGGTGCACATGTGCTCAAGGGTATGGAGACCAGAGGTTGACCGTAGATATCTCTGACATTATCTCTGAGATAGAATCTCTTAATGAACCCAGGCTCAGCCACTGGCTAGACTCCCCAGCCATCGAGCACCTAGGATCCACCTGTTTCCACCCCACCAGTGCTAGGGTTACAGAAGTGTGCAGCCAAGCCCAGCTTTGTATGTAGGTTCTAGGGATTTGAACTCAGGCCCTCAAGCTTGCATGGTAGCCACTGTGCCATTTTTCTGACCCTTGACCCGAGTGATAAGTTTATACTTTCATTTTGTCATAATTCAGTTTCTCATTGCTGCCCTTTTCTCTATGTCTTGCTAAAGTTCAATAAAGTTCTAAGAACCAAGAGCTTGTGTAATATGCACAAGGCCCTGAATTAGTCTCTAGTTGCTCCCCGCCCTTAAAAAAAAAAAAAGCCAAAAACAAAAACAGAGAAAGTTTCAAATCAAGGCTCACTACCTACCCAGCAAAGGGTAGCCCTCATATCTGTTGCAGATGAGATATGCCATACCAAACATGCTAAAGAGAGAAAGAGAGACAAGATGTTAGACTCAAAACAGAAACTCTGAGGGCAAAAGTGACTTCTTAAGCCTTTTTTTTTAAAAAAAAATCTCTATCAAGCCTCTATTTCCGGATTGCAGATACCAAGAGGAGAAAAGATCGGATCTACTTGTAGCAGAGGCCGAACAACTGCGCTAGCTCTTATTGTAGTACCTGGCACACTATTCAGCAAATGACTTTTGTTTCTGCATTGGTAGACAAGAACCCTTTGGAGGGCGGGGGGTGGACCCCAACCATCTTGGATGTGCTGCAGTGTCTCACATCTGGAGGTGCTATGGACTGCTTAATGTCACCTTCTGTTTTGCTGAGCGCTTGCTATGTGTCTTGCATAGTTCTAAGTGATTCACTGCTTGTCTGTTTTTTCTTAACCAGTATCTTTAACTCTGACAAAAAAAAATATTATTAAGAAGTATGACTTCTGTGTTAGCGCTGTAGCCCAGTGGAAGAACATTTGCCCAGCACACGTGACACCTCAGGTTCAATCCCAAGTACTACCGAAAACATCCCACACAACTCAACCAACCAACTTTAAAAAAAAAAAAACAGGGAGAAAAAAGTATCACCTAACGTCCATTTGACAAATGAGTAAACTGAGTGCAGGAACTTGCCCTACAACTTGTAGTTAGTGGAGGCAGTGTCTAAATACAGGCAGAGGTGTGTGTGCCTTTCATCGTGATTTCACCTTGGATTATTCTCTTCTGTGTTCTGCCTTGCTACTCTGTCATACTCTCTGGTGGCGCCTATCAAAACTCTCCTGTGCTACATACAGCTAATCTTCAGATATAAAAGCCTGAAGGCAGAAACCAAGCCCTATTCATAGCTGCATGTGTCTCTAATGCCTTTTTCTCCATCTGGAGGGACGGCACAGAAAAATCACAAAGACTTCAGGCTTTGGAGCTTGTGAGGTGACTGTATGTGGTGACCGATTTCTTTACCCTACCTGGACCTACACCTCTTGTCATCTAGCTGGGCACTGCTTCCTGCTGTGGCTTTCACCTTATGAATGCTCTGGCTGATCAGAGTCAGCAGACAGGAGAAAGAGGCTTGAGAAATGTTTGTGCGTGAGCCAGTTGTGTCTTGTTCTTCACATATCACTGTGACAACACGCCTGGTGGAAGACGAGACATGCAGAACCAAACTGATCTAGCTCTGAAGTCCGGTTGATCCCACTGTCTCAGCCAATGCCACCGTGGATCAGCCAATAAATAGCCTGCTGTACCCCAGGCACATGAATAAGCGTGAGATCAGCCCAGGTGAACACTATCGTGTCCCCTATTTTCTTACAGGGGAAAAAACTCAAAACAAACCCTGTCAATTGTGTTGGGGTATAGCTAAAGGCCTAGCATGGACAAGGTGAGTGGTTTGATCCATTACTACCAAAAAAAAAAATGTTTGTTGATGTTTGTTATCTGGTGCTTCTGAGGTTTGTGGTTGCCTGGGAGGGTGTGTCACTGTGGTAGTTTGAATCTCGGCTCCCTGGCTTTACTAGAGAGACCCTTGGTGAGTCATTTAATAGCATTTCAGTTTATAAAATGGAGATAGTAAAATGTTTCTGCTTCCTGCAGTCAATCATAAGAACAAATAATGTATCTTAAGGTAGAATGCGTATTTAATAAGCGCTCACCAAAACATTATTACTATCCTTTCACTTAGTCAGTCACTGCTTAAGGATGAGCTGTGTGTGCTAAGCAGGATGCTGAGCCCCAAGAACATGATGTGAAGAGAAAGAAATGTTTGAATCAACTCTAGCCTTTGGCGACAGACTCTTTAAGACCTAGGGTCTAGTTTGTTCCTGGAGTAACAGTTGTCTATTTCCATGTTGTTCATTTGTGCACCAGTCATTAATTCGCCATGTTGGAGACCTACTGTGTGCACAACACTGGGGATATAAGAGTGAATAAAGTCAGTACGCAGCCTCCCTGTGCTCACAGTGTAGTGAGAGAGAAGTGTAGCAAGGCTGTGATATTAGAACTGGGGCTATATTCTGGAGGTAGAGCATATGCTTAGCATGAATGAGGCCCTGGGATCCATCTCTAGAACCAATAGCTAAAGAGCCTTGGAGAAGATGGTCTACTGGGAGCGTGTGCTGTAGTTACACAGTGGTAGAAAGGGCTCTCATGTCTGGTGGGGGATGGGAGTACCAGAGACACCCTCACTGAGAGGAAGATTCCTGAGCTCTATTTTAGAGATGGCTTGGGCAGGGTAGTAAGATGATAAGCCATTAGAGGGTGTACATGGAGAGATGAACTTGGAAAAGCTCATCCTTGCATATTAATGCAAGGAATTTGAATGTTAACATGAAGTGATTAGAAGCTATTGGTCCCTTTCTTCCTTCCTTCCTTCTTTCCTTCCTCCCTCCCTCTCTCTCTTTCCTTCCCTCCTTCCCTCCTTCTCCCTCCCTCTTTCTTTCTTTCTCTCTCTCTCTCTTTCTTTCTTTCTTTCTTTCTTTCTTTCTTTCTTTCTTTCTTTCTTTCTGAGGGATGTTTCAAAACAGGATTTCTCTATGTAGCCCTGGTAGGCCTGAAACTCTCTCTGTAGACCAGGCTGACTTAGAACTCAGAAATCCACCTGCCTCTCCTCCTGAGTGCTGGGATTAAAGGTGTGTGCCACTACCACCTGCCTGAACAATTTTAAACCCAAAGGGATATCCACACATCTAAGTTGGGCTTTAGCAAAGACCCAGAAACAGTATCCTCTTTTAACTCTCTCGATGCTGGGCCTACAGTTAACATAATCAGTGAGTACTGAATGGTGAGCAGATCTGTCTGTCTGTCTGTCTGTCTGTACAGAAATTAGGGGACTCTCTGATCTGTTTGCACAGCTGCTGAAGAAATGCCCTTAGACACTCAAGCCTATGCAAAGAATGAGCTTTCATTTTGCTATACTATTAGTAGGATGGAGAAAGATGAGGGATGTTTCAAATCTGGACCCGGAAGAACCCAGGTCTGGGAAGATACAGATTTCAGCTTCATGAAATGGTTTTGAATTTCAAATAGGGCATCCATTGTTTGCTATCAAAATCACCCTTTACTAAAAATAAATATAACAGTCACTACCCACACTCACACTTTCTCATTGAGGCCCAAACACTGGTACACTGGTCCAGGATCTGCAACTCCTTTCATAACTTTCTTTGGAAGCTCTTTAAAAAAGTAGGCTGGTAGGTTGCTGCCATCATATGTGACAGAGTCGCAGGTCACGATGCCTGGGTAATACATCATCATCCTGGCAGCAATATTGACCTTCTGACCAATGACTACAATAGGCAGGGGAAAGTCCAAGAAGAGTAAAACAAAAACAAAAACAAAAGCTGTTAAACTCCATGGAAATCGGGGAGATTCACCCAAATGGGTTTTTCCCTTTATTTATTTTGCCTGTCATGAATGGCACATGAGTTTAGCCTTCAGTTGGCCAGGGATTATTTCAAACAACCAACAGTTAACTTGGCCAGTAGTGAGGTTTCTGTCTTACCTAGGAGATTGAGAGGATGGTCCATGCTGGGATATAAAGGCCTTAAGTGTAGAGAGGTGTTTGTAAGGGGGATGGCCTCAGGCCTGAGGACTCGTGGACAAGATGCAGCTGATCTTCTGTGATGAAGTGGACAAGCAGTGTGCTGGTCTAAGAGAACTGACCCTCAAAATGTCTTGTGAACAAAAACTTCATTTGGTAATTCAATGCGTGTGCGTGTGCGTGTGCGTGTGCGTGTGTGTGTGTGTGTGTGTGTGTTTTATTTGAGGAGGTTTTTTGAGACAGAGTTTCTCTGTGTGACAACCCAGATTGTCCTGGAACTCACTCTGTAGACCAGTCTGGCCTCAAACTCACAGAGATCCACTTGCCTCTGGAGTGCTGGGATTAAAGGCACCACTGTATATCTAGCTATGCTTTTGTTTTGTTTTGAGACATGGCATCGCTCTATTGCTGGCCTTGAGCTCCCAGTGGTCCATTTCTGTGGGTAGGCCATAGTCTCAAAGATCCCACAGCCTCCCAAATCATCATCACCATCAGAAAACCAAGTCTTCAAGCACATGAGCCTATGGGGGACATTTGACCTGCAAACCCTAATGTCTCCCTCAGGCCGTTTTCTAGGGTATTTTGTAATGGGGACAAAAAGTCTAACCCATCAGTCCCTGTCATAACATAACTTTCTCTTTGAGTCATTTCTCCTCCTCAATTGTTCTCAGATGTCATGGACACCAAGCCCTGCAGGCAATCATTTCAGTATAGGGATTTAAAAGTAACCGTTTCCCAAGAGACCAATGTACACAGCGCAGTTTGGGCAGTTCTGCCTGTCTTCATGTATTTCTTGCCCCCTTCCTTTCATTTCTCCTCTGTACTGTATACTTCTGTATCTACCATCAACACCTTGAAGAGGGGTGAAATGGTGGCTCCCCTGTTCCTTTTGCTGTGGCTACATTGAAGAGAGCCTTGTCTTGCTTCACAACCACTCTTTTATGATTACATCATCTCAGTGAGTGACCAGACCTGGTCGTTGGGGATTCTGGGGCCAGTAGGCAAAGGATTCTGAAAATATCTCCAATGATTTTATACTTGAAAAAAAGTTTTTTGAGAGGCAGAGGCTGGTAGATCTCTTGAGTTTGAAGCCACCCTGGTCTATAGAGGGAGTTCCAGGACATCCAGGGCTACACAGAAAAACCCTGTCTCTAAGACAACAAAAACAAACAAAAATTTGCTTGCTTTATTTATTTATTTATTTATTTATCTACTTTATTATTTTATATGTATGAGTTGTTTGCATGCATATATGGCATCCTTAGAGGTCAGAAGACGGCATTCAGATCAACTGGGATTGGAGTTACATATGGTTGTGACCCACCATGTGGGTGCTGGGAAAGTAACTTCATATTTCCTATATTCATCTGTGGCACCAGAAACACACACTGCAGGCATAGCACTATCACACACACTGCCAGCATGGCACTGTCAGTGGCCAAAGCAACATGGTATTGTTCCATTTGGAAAGACTATATAAACTCTCTGAGGACAGAGCCCATATCTCCATATCTCACCTCTTTAAAAAAAAAAAAAAACAAACCTTCCCACAAAGCTCTGTTGAAAGTCGAGTGAAACTAGGTCAGCTCTACACACCTGTGTACTCATGTCTCACAGTGTGTCCAACGATCCCACAGAAGACAATCCCACTGGCCACGCCGATGGAGACAGTTCTGATGTCATGCATAGAAAGAAATTAACAATGAGTACTTATACAAAAAAGATGAGGAGCATAGAAAATGTGGCAAGGCTGGGGAAGTAGGGTAGGAGGGAGAGGGAAGGCTGTTTCAAATAACTCTTTTCATGCTTAGTCTAGGACAGTTATATACACTTGAGAGATATTAAAGGAAAGAATGCTTGAAGCACCAAACCAAGCTATTCACTATTTCTCTTCATCCCAGCTTCTTGTCCCCTCACCCCCCGCACCCCCCATCTTCTCCATTCCTTTAAGACAGCCCAGGAACTACTGGATAAGATCAGGATTGACACCCACCGGATTTTGTGGACCTGAGAGCAGAAGTCGAATATATCCACGGCACTTTCCAAGGCGTGAGTGATCTCATCGGGGGCCTTTTCCCCAGGGAAACCGAAGACACATAGGAAGGAGCAGCCCTGTGAGAGTCAGCAAACACACGTTCAATATGCACCAGCCAGATGGCCTAACCAAGAAGTGCCATGGCAAGTTTCTCTTTCAGAATCAGAGTTCATCCTGGTGTCTGCTGCATCTGACTAATGCTTGGTAAACGTGCTAACTTTTAGGGTGCCATCGGTACTGCAGCTCTGTCTTTGTAAAGGACTTCTCTTTCCTCCAGAGATAGCTCCTGCAGAGTGCTTGTGTGTGCACTCATGTCTGCTCCTTTCAGGGACACAAGGCCTTGGACTCTGAAGTGAGACATTTAAGTCTAAGAGGCACAACAGAGCGGTAGATATGATACCAGGTTGGGAATAGAACCTGTCAAGATGGCTTAGGGAATGCTCACCTTTAGTTTCACTAGTAGGAAGAGGAGGCAGTGGGTCTCTGCGAGTTCCAGAAAAGCCTGGCCTACATGAAAAGTTCCAGGACAGCCTGAAACACAGGGAGACTCTGTCTTTAAAAAAAAAAAAGTCATAGGGTGTGTTCCTGGGTGCGTTCATGAGTCTGTGAGTCTGTGAGTCCGTGAGTCTGTGTGTGTCTGTGAGAGTGAGTATGTGTGTGTGTGTGTGTGTTTGTCTAGAGCGATGACTCACCCTCTACAGAGAACCTAGGTTTAGTTCTCAACACCCATATAGAAATTCTTACTTTTCTACAACTCCAGTTCCAAGGGCTCCTCTTCTAACCTCTTTGAGCACCAAGAATGCATGAGATGCACAAACACAGACATGTATATGTACTCATATACATAAAATAAAAATTAATTAATTTTTTAAAAAGCTCAGTAAATAAAGGCAGACTCACATGGTGGAAGAAAAGATGTGACTACTGAAAAGTGCCCTTTGACCTCTACATGCATGCCTTGGCACACATGTGCCCATACACACATACACATATAAAATAAAATATGATTTAAAAAGTGGAATCATAGCCAGGCATCATGTCCCACACTTTTAGTCCCAGCCCTCAGGGGGCAGAGGCAGGCTGGGCTCTGATTCAAGGCCAGTCTGGTCTACAGAGTTCGTTCCATAACAGTCAGAATTGCATGGTGAGATTCTGTCTCAAGAAACATCAACAATAACAAAGAGTAACCACAAGGCTTAAATTAATGTAGGTAAATGTTGGGAGGGACACCTGGCATATTGGGCATCTATAAGCTGTTATAAAGACATTAACTATCCCATGTCTGTTCCCTGTACCTCACCAATGTCCTGGGACTCAAGTGGTAACCTTGCACTACTGGAGGTTTCCCATTCTGTAGTTAGTACTTACCTTATCAAACATGAAGACCTTATTGATCTGGCCTCGGAAAACCTTCAAGACAGACGTGATGTGCACACAGGCAGCTTGGATGGCTGATCCTATGACTTCTACTTTGTCTTGCTCTTTAAACATCAAGTTCACAAACACAATGGTCACAGGACGAAGCTCAGATAAATAGCCCCGAAGTTGCTTGTCATCGATCTGCAAGGCAGAGGGCAGCGTTCTCCAGTGTGTGCCCTTGGCAGCAGAACCTTTCAGCACCACTCTAGCTCATACCCAAAGTCCATACTAGGAAGAAAGCCCTTGGTGGCAACTGAAGCTATCACAGTGTTGAGCTACAATCCACAGAGCCAGCCCACGGGAAAATGAGAAGATGGTTAGGATTCATTATCCAAATCTCTTCCATTGAAACCAAGCAAGCAAACACACACACACACACACACACACACACACACACCCTACTGGGCAATGAAGATTTATGTAGTTGCTAATTTGGCCAGCAACTGCTATACTACCTAATCTCTCATGCCAACGTGCGTTCATATTAAGAGCTACTACTGCTTCCATTCATTATTTTTACAGTTGGGCAGAAAAAAATAATCTTTTATATGACTTAACCTTGTAATTTTTCATATCCTAGTGCCTTCTGGAATATGTTTAGATTCTATCCCACTATTTTCAGACGGAAGTTCAAAACCTAGCATTAGTGTTCCCATTTTAAAAACTAAATGGCAGAAACATGGAGAAGTAACACGATTTCCCCAAGGTTATGTAAATAGAAAGTATTGAATTAAAACCCAGCTCTGGATTCCAACATTCCATGTACTACATGCATCTTTTGGACAGTGTATTTTGTTTATTGTTTGATTTAGTTTTCCTTCCTTTCTACACTCTCACCTTGTGAGAGGCATATGGAGAAGAAAGAATTCCCAAACCATCCCTGCCAGTCATCCATTTTGAATTTTGTTAAATGCAGTGCTATTCAAATCAATGGGGGATAGTCATTCTACTTTCTGTCCAAATAACACAAAGGTATCAGATTCTCTACTGGCAATGTGAAATGTGTCTTACAGAAGAAACAGAAATTGGTACAGGGAATTAAGTCGCCATGCTTTCCAACTGTCTAGGCTAGTCACAGGATTAGGTTCATTTAATTGTTTTCTTTTCATAAAAGGTGATGTGATTTATATCTAACCACCGTAATGAACTTTTTCAAATACATTTACAAATAATTTTTAACAAAAATTATCGCATTAAACCACATGTTCTCAGTTTGGTTGAGAAAACAGGACTACAGCATCTCTGGGGTTATGTGTCCTTTAAGTGCTAGGATACACCTTGGCGAAGTCTTCCAAGATCTGTCTTCCACCTTCTTTCGACTCCCCACCCCAGACATATCTCTTTAACAGTATTCATTATTTCTCTCTACAATTCTCACCAACTCTTGAGTTTATCTTATACCCCCTTCTTGTAGGCAATGATCTCAGCAGTAGCTAATGGGATCTATCTATTGAGGTAGGGAAGGTTGTAGAAGAGACTGTCTCCTGGACAATCACAGGTACTAGAGTAGCCACCAGTGAGGTACATTTGAGGCAGTCTCATATGCTTGCACTTGAGGGTTACTGCCCTTCTAAATGACTATTTAAAACAGGATCATAATTCCAGCAACTCAAAAGGATCACAAATCTAATGCCTTCCTAGACTGAAGACTGAGTTCAAAGACACCCTGGGCAACTTAGTGACAGCCTGCCTCAAAAATAAAAAAAAAAGAGTAATTATAGATTTTTGTTCATTAAACTGGGGATTGAGCACAGATCCTTGAGCACACTAAGCAAATGTTCAACACAATCTTCCTTCCTTCCTTCCTTCCTTCCTTCCTTCCTTCCTTCCTTCCTTCCTT